TGGAAGCCCCAGTGTGGTGTGTCCTGTGGTGCAGCTGCCGTACAGATTGCCTCTGGGCTGTTGACCATTTGCCTTTAGTTTCATGCCCAGCTTGCCCTCCAGAAAATGCTGAGGTGCCTCGTCACTCTGCCTCATGGGGCCTCCAGGCTGCTGCCCAAATCCCTCACCTGGTGTCTTGAGAGACCTCTCCTTCATTTTCCCTCTGAAATCAGTGCCGATAGCTCTTTAAAAACATGACCTTTTGCAAGGAAAGCACTTCATGGCTGTAACTCTAGTGTCTCACCCAGTAGCAAGTTCCCAGCGGGTGATCAAGATAGGAGAATGGGGTCTGGAAACACTTTGTGTGCTTTAAATTTGTGCCATGTTTGAAAAATAAGCCCATTAAACCAATTACATTGACTACTTAAAAGGAGGCCATTTCTCCCTGCCCTGCCTTCTGTTGGCCTGGCTCCTGTAGCTATCCTCTTCCCATGTGCAGGCTTCACAAGTGGAAAGGACACAGGGGTGCAGTCGTTGGACACATGTGCTTGAGTGTTGTTTTCAGAACCTCAGTGGGTGTTCCATGGTTGATTCCCATTTTCATCTGGAAGCCTTTGGCGCAGAAAAGAAAGTGTTGTTTTCCTTTCTTTCAAAACAAAGCATTGCTAGCTCTTGTAACATGTTGTCCAGTGAATGTTTTAGGGACATGAAGGCTTGTTTTTAAAGGCAGAGTAGTAACTTGTCTGTGCTATGCTAAGGTACCACTCTGGCACCCTCTGTGGAGGATATTCCTGCTGTTTGCCTCCCTGCTCACTGAATGTTTTTGAGAAAGCAGACTGGTGCTGGAGCGCCAATCTGCAGCCACAGAGCAGAGAACTTGCCGGCCCATACAGACAGCATCAGCACTGATTGTCCAGGGCCTAAGCAAGGGCTTTCACACAGGACACGTTGGATGTAAATGGGTATTAATTAGTTCAGTACAAGACAAGATCCCCTTCAGGAATCCTGGTGTTCAAACCTAAAAGTGTGTGTGATCACAGGAGAGAAGCGGCGTGGTCGGGGAGGAAGCAAGCTCCTCATGCCCTATGTTGTCTAAGCCTTGATGTGCATGTTGTATCCCATCACTGCAATAGCACAGGGGAAGCAGGACAGCATCCATCAGATAGCTTGGAAACCCAGGCTCAGATGAGCGCAGTTCTGTCAAGTGTCCCTCAGCCACAGAGGGCTGTGTCCCTTCCAGCTGCAGAGCTGTGTCCCTCCCCGTTAGCACTTTCCTATTAGGGTAGTACTGTGGAGCATTAGCTCAGTTGACCGTTCCAGAACCCTCTTTAAGCACAGCCCATGCTCCCTCAGGACAAACAAGGAATCTGGCTCCCAGCAATGAAGAGTTTAGTGCTAACACAGCTAATTAGCCTCCCAGCCCCAGAGGCCCCGGCCAGGGGACCAGCTTGTGCATTAGACTCAGGAAGAGAGTGCCGCTTCTGCTCTCTGTCCCCGGGAAGCGAGACCTTCAGTCCACACTGACAGGCCATTACCAGAAGTGGCAGGCACCCTGCAGGCAGAGAGCCAGGTAATGACAGCCCGTGGGCAGGGCCTGCAGCACCAGCCAGAGGGTGTACTGAGTGTGGAAGACACATAGCCCTTTCCCACAGTTCACAGCGAGAGCACTGTTTATTCTCATCAACGCCCTGGTTCTGGTGTCTTTTCATTTTGTTTCCCAGACTTTCCCAGACACTTCTTCAGCTGTCAGCGCCTGTGGCGTTATCGTCTTGACTGGTTCCTTTCTCTGCTGGCCCCTTCAGCCAGCCTCTCCAAGGCATTGTTTAGATGCTTTTTAGAAAATGCTTCATGCATTTGTGGTGTTTCTTTTGAAACTGGGTACTTGATTTTCTTTATTCCTCCCTTTCCCCCACTCCTTTTCATTCTTAGAAGTCACCTCTTCAGATGCTCCTGATGGACCAGCTTGTGTGGTGTGGTACTGCTTGTGCTTGCACTTGCAGTCAGCTTCTACTTAGGGCAGCACAGTCTTGGCCATCCTGGGCTCTGAATAATATGTTACAGTGTTTCTGCTTATGCTGGGCATCACCCTAATACATTGGCTCATGTTACCATAACGACCCTTCACCATTACCCCAGCTTCAGTACCCCAAGATCACACCACTGCACATCCTCAGTCGGCTGGTCTACATTTGGAGTGCCTTTGTGGGATTTGAACTCATCCAGCTTCAGCATCTTCCATATCCTACCATTTGCATTTGCTGTCGCTGATCTGTTGGAAAGCTCAGTTCCTGCTGAACCATTGAATCTTAGAGTGAGGCCCCTTAAATCATCAGCACCTGCTTTGTGGTGGCTCCTCAGTAAATACTGTGTGCATGTTGGACCCAGAGAGTAAAAGGAGCTGGTGCCTATGTCTAGTGCATGTACCCACCTGGCTTAAGACTGTCATATGGAGGCTGGAGAGTTGGCTCAGCAGGTAAGAGCACTGGCTGCTCTTCCAGAGGTCCTGAGTTCAGTTCCCAGCACCCATATGGCAGCTCACAACCATCTGTAATGAGCTCTGACTCCCTCTTTTGTGTGCATGAAGCCAGAGCACTCATACATAAAGTACATAAATAATTAAGAAAAAAATTAAATCCTTTCATATAATAAATAACGCTTTCATTGTGGACATTTCCTCTCCATTCAAGCAAGAGGTGGGTGAAGAAGCTGGAGAAATCGAAGCTCCATGCTGAGCTCTGCTGCTCCTGTATTCCAGGGTGAAAATTCTGGGGACTCCCAGAGCCTCCATCAGTCAGTCATGCCTCAGGACTTAAAAAGCTCACTGTTGCAGGGAATTCCAGCAGGCCAAGGCAAGGCCGCCACCTGGAGGTAGTATATGGCATTACAACACTTGTAGTTATGCTTGGGTCAGATTCAACTTGCAAAATGAGTACCTCTTGAGTCACCATTTTCATAATCATCTTTGTCGTCTTCATGCTTTCATCAGAGTAATACCATTATTTCCTGTGTGTTCTGTTCACAGTTTCAGTTCTGACTATAGTCACATAGCCAGGTTCAACCGGAGCTGTTTGGCTAATCATGAACATTTCCATTTTATTCAAATGTTTTAAAAAAAAATGTGTGTCAGGATGAGAAAGCACACTGTCCTATTGGAAAGTAAGCAGTTGCCACTGTATCCCAGAGGAGCAGACCTGCCTGGCCAGGGAGGGCTGAGACAAGGCATGTTGCCTGTGAAACGTCACTAAATGGGGGAGCCTGGGCAGAACCTTGGGTGACTTCTAGGCGTGGGCCTCAAGGGGCTGGTTTATTTCGCTGTGATTTGTACAAGAGATTATGTTTACCTCGAGTGGACTCCAGCTATGACAGTGAGTAAGTCACTTATACTTCTTCATCTTCAGGGTAGCAGCTGAGCAGAGCTTCATGCACTCAACTATTCCATATTTCTTCCTGCACTGTGCAATTCTCCCCTGCAAATATAAAGTGTTGCTAGAGGCTCCCGTCTTGCTGAGCTGTGCCCATAGGGACTTTCCAGCATAGTGTCTGTGCTTATTGCAGTCTTCACTTGTAACAGTGTGATTGTAGGCCTGGAGAGATGGCTGGGCCATGAGGAGCACTTGCTGTTCTTACGGAGGATCCAGGTTTTCAAAGGGTACCTGTTTTAAACTTCGCTTTTTATGATGCAGTGGTGCTCTTTCAGGTCTTTGCTGTAGCTCCACTTTCCTGTAGCAGTTCTTAGAGAGCAGGTTTGTGGCTCAGGCTCATGTTCTTGGCACCCTGAGTCTGAAGTGGGAGGATTGTATTGAATTTGATGCCAGGCTGGGCCACCTAGCAAGACTCTAAAACAAGACAGAGGAGCACTCAACTTCAAGTGGACAACACTAAGTCTAGCCTTTTTCCCCCACTCCGCTGCACTCCACCCCTCCCTTCCCTGTGACAGCCCCTCCCAGACAGTCTCCATTGGGATATGCTGAATCTTCTGCCTGTCACCATCTGTCAGCGGGCTGTGTGCCTGTGTGCAGTAAATGCACATGTTCGAATAACATTGGTCAGGGCAAGCCATCAGGCATCTTCCTCTACTGCGCTCTACCTCACCCCTTCTAATTTGTGTCTTCACTGAATCAGGGTCTCACAGGTGTGGCAGGGCAAACCGTCGGCCTGAAAGCTTTGAGTCCTCCTATCTCTATATGCCGCCTCAACCAGTACTGGAGTCATAGGAATATGTAGCTGTACCTGCTCCTTGTGTCATGCTGGCAATCCAAACACAAGATTATCCTGCAGAGCAAAGGCTCACTCACCGAGCCATCTCTAGCCTCAGAAGGAGTTTTTTAAAGTATATACCTTGTTAAGATAGCATTCATAGGGCCAACAAGATGGCTCAGCAGATAAAAAAACTTGCCATACTGGGCCTGATGATATGTGTTCAATCCCTGAAATTCACAGGAAGGTAGAAGAAGAGAAGCAACTCTATAAACTTGTCCTCCAACCTCCACATACACACACCAGCAAATTACAATTATTACTCATTTAAAATGTGTAGTTCAATGATTTCTAACATGCTCATGAACGCGTACAGCCACTAACACAAGTTTTAGAATGTTTTCACTATCTCGAAGAATGTGCAGTATGGTGGCTCACATGATACATAGTAGTATATGATCCTTCAGAATGGTCTAAGGGGTGGCAGGTCAAATACTGAAAGAGAAGGACAACATGACTGACTCCCTCAAAGAAGCGCTGAGGTAAGTCCTCTGCTAGGTGCACTCTTGAGAGCACAGGCTCTGTGCTGTCACATGTGGGGTATGGGACTATTTCCATCACACTGTAGAAAGGAGAGCACTACTCTGTCACCATGAACAGCCTGTGCTTCTGAGGGTGCCGTCGGCCTGGCAGGTCACAGATGAAGACGCGCAAAGTTATCAAGGACACAGTCATTTCCTGGTGCCACTGGGTGGCCACAGGGACCTGGAAGTAAAAGGTGACAGGTGGCTCTCAGACTAATAATCTCCTTCCTTTTCCAACAGGTTTGGCAGATCCCAGAAAATGGACTGACCCTTTCCCTGACTGAACCTGTGGTGATTTTAGAAGGCCACTCAAAAAGAGTTGGCATCGTGGCCTGGCATCCAACGGCCCGCAACGTGCTTCTTAGTGCAGGTAGGAGCCCAGTGGGCTGCCTTGCCCTTGCCTCGTGTGGGGTAGCGCCATGTGTGAGTCCCCTGAAGTGAAACACTGGGAGCCACGGCAGACTCTGTGTATGCAGATGGGTTTGTACACTTGCTGTGTGCCCTGTGGTCTTTCCACATGCTGTGCTGGTCTCTCACACTGCCTCTGCTGGCAAAGCCCAGCTTATCTGCTCATCTCCCGGCTCTAAACAGTGATACTGCTTCTGAATTTTCAGTAAACCGCAGCACAGTGAACCCTGACACCTTCTGTCTCTACCCACTCTGACAGCAAGTTGCAGGCCAGTGAGAGACTGCCTTAAGAAAGAACCATGCATGTACCACACGTGTAGGCATGCATACACAGGAATACAGAAGGCAGCGGTGAATTCAGCTTGTGGGGTGATGGGAGTAAGCTCTTTCTTGGTTATAGGTATTTCTCAGAACTTACCCTAGGTATATGTAATGATGTTGTGAATTAGACCTTAATAATATGGTTTGGTTTGTTTGTTGGGTTTTGGTTTTTCTAGACAGGGTTTCTTTATGTAATCTTAACTGTCAAGGAACTCCCATCTGTAGGTCAGTCTTCCCCCAAACTCCCAGAGATCGCCTGCTTCTGCTGCCTAAGTGCTGCGCTTAAAGGAGTGCGCCACCATTGCTGACAATATTGGTTTATTTCTTTTTAATGTATTTTTGCAAGTTGGACAGATCAGTTTTTAACTAAGGATAGGAGATGTTTATGGTGCATGAAGTTAAAGATGTAATGCTAGGCACCTATTGAAATAAAAGGCCCGCTAGCAGAAGACACTGTAAGATGCCAACTTTCATAGCCACTTTTGACCAGCCCTGAGCCCTTCGGATGATCTCAAGAATGAAGTGAGGGAGAGAGAGAGAGAACGCTGAGGGACTGCATGGAAAGTGGAAAGGACCTGCTGTCCTCCCTGTTCTCTGGGACCAGGCAGCTCACTGTGTTTTCCTGTTCTTCTTGTGGAAGCAAAGGAGACTGGTTGACTGTGGGGTCTGTACCCTCAGACTGACCACTCTGTGCCCGGCACTCCCTAGAGAGGGGTCTGCCTGGAGGAGCCGATGCGATGGCAGGGAGCCTCAGCTCTCCACCCTAGTTTAGTGACAGCATTTTATATTGTTGTGCAGGTTTTTCAACAGGGGTTTTGCTTCTAGCTCTTGGTTTTCAGGTATCTTCTAAGCAGTTAGAACCTTCCTAATGCCGTGACCCTTTAATACAGTTCCTCCTGTTGTGGTGAGCCCCAACCATAAGATTTTTGTTGATATTTCATAATTGTAATTTTTCTACTGTTGTGAATCCTAACGTAACTATTTTTAGAGACAGAGACTTGCCAAAGGGGTCGTGCCCACAAGTTGAGAACCACCAGCTTAGAAGATACTTTCTCAGCAAGAGTGGGACTGAGTAGTTAATAGGTTATGGGTTTCTCTGGGGAACAGTTTTTGCATCCACATGTCTGTGATTTCACTTTAGTCTTCTCAACATGGGCTACTCATTCCATTCCCCTTTTCCCTCTTCTAAAGATAAAGATTTCTGTGAGCAACAGAGCAGTCCCTTGTTTCCCTTCTGTTATAGGAAGGACCTGGCTCACGGTGTCATTACTTGAGTCACTTACCATCCTAGGTCCTTCAGGAACAGAAGTGATGGCGTTCTGATGTGTCTTTCTAGAACAGGGCGCTCACTTGAACCTGCCTGTCTCCAGTAGTCACACTAACTTCAGAAACGATGTTTCACTTTGCTGTGGATCTTGTCTGGGTTCACTGATGGGTTCATAGTGTTGCTTTACTAATGTTTGTTTACACAAATCTTGTTGCTCCAGCCCCTAGTAGGTAGGGCCTCTTGTCATCAGCACCTTCCTTCCCGTGCCTTCGTGTTCCTGCGGGGCTTGCAGCTTTCAGTGACATGCTGTGCAGGGGTTTCTCACCTTATGATTAATGTGCTTGACGCAGGCTGTGATAATGCCATTATCATCTGGAATGTGGGGACAGGGGAAGCCCTCATCAACCTGGACGATATGCATTCGGACATGATCTACAACGTCAGCTGGAACCGCAATGGCAGTCTCATCTGCACGGCGTCCAAAGACAAGAAAGTGAGAGTCATCGATCCCAGGAAACAGGAGATCGTAGCGGTGAGTGGCCTTAGCTCCCCGCTCTGGAGGCTGGTCAGCAACCTCATGCCACGGTGTCCTTATAGAGTGCAGGCACCAGCTGAGCCGGGAGGGGACAGCCCCAGTCTCTCTTCTCTGCTCATCTCCAGCCTTGGCTCAGCTCTGTCCCCTCATGGTAGCCTTAGACAGAATAGTCCTGGTTAGTCTGGAGTTCACAGAGATGCGCCAGGCTCTGCCTACCCAGTGTACAACGCCACACATGGTATGGCAGTGCTTTTGAACAGCTCATAACGCCCGTGGGAGTTCTGAAGTCTGGATGAGCTCAGCTGTCTGGGAATCTACACGAACTGCTTCCTAGTTGGTACCCGCCCTGATCCCAGAACAGTGTCCAGGTGCCTGCAGCAGGCCTTGCTTAGTGGTGAGCTTCTGCCACCCAGTGGGGCTTCAGCAAAGTCACATGCCCTGCCTGAAGATGCAGGTCTTCAGTCAGGGCTGCCCTGCAGGCGAGGAGTGCAGGGACGGCTCACCTTAACTGTGCTCTGAGGGATGTTCATCAGCACTGTCTAGGGTTGGCCAGCAGCCATGGCAAGTGCTTGTCAACTATAGGGACTGCCCAGGCCCTGTGTTTGTCCACCCAGCATCCTCCAGGGTCGGATACTCCTGCTCATTAACCAGGAAGGCTAGGACCAGCTCTCCATACATCCTGGGATGCTGCTGCAGACTGCCGTTCATCCGTGGGAGAACTGTGTGGGGCAGAGCCCTTGCATGTGCTTGTGGCTACACTGTGGGGGCTGGGACAGCAGCAGACTGTGGTAGGAGTGGGCTCCTCCATCAATTCAGGGGCTCGCCTGCTGACTTTGACCAGGTCACTTAACGCCACTGCTTCCACGTATGGAGGATAGTTAACACCATGGCCTCAAGGTCCTTCCCAGGAGAACATGGGCTGGCCCTATGTGCATGGCGTGTGTGTGTGCATGTGAGCGTGCGAGCAAGTTCCCAGTATTGGCTTTCCGCTCACCTCCCCATGTTGCAGTTTGAGTGTGTGAAATCTGCACCTGCTCTTCCTCCTTCCCAGGAGAAGGAGAAAGCACATGAAGGAGCCCGGCCCATGCGGGCCATCTTCCTGGCTGACGGCAATGTCTTCACTACTGGCTTCAGCCGCATGAGCGAGCGGCAATTGGCGCTTTGGAACCCGGTAGGCCTCTTCCCACTTTTCCTCCCTCTTTGGGTTTTCTCTCAATCCTGAGTGGGGCTTGGGCTGGCAAGGGGCCTCCTAGGATTCTCAGTGCAACTTCCTGAGCTCCTGCTGTCTTAAGTTAATAGGAGGTTCTCACCCTCAGGGCACACACAGAAGTGTACCTTAGACATGTGCTCATGGGGCTTCCAAGAGTCCCACCAACTGCTTAGACCTGGGAAGGAGTTCTGTGCTCCTGGCTTCGTGAAGACTGGGCAGACAGCCGTGCTTAGGGAACTGCCCTACGCGACTCACACACCCTGCACTGAGTGAGCAGCCTGACTGTGAATGTGAGAACAAAGTCGTCCACACTTGTCTACAGTGATGGTGCCGCCTGCTGGGTTGTAGGACAGCGTGGTTTTTCTAAGTATATGCCTTCTTCATAAGAAAGCAAGGCTGGACAGGTGGCTCAGGGGCCGTGAGTGTTTGCTGTTCTCAGTCTAGGGGCTCTGATGCCCTCTCCTGGCCCCAGCAGGCAGCTGCACTCACGCACAGGCTCTGGCCTTTAAAGACAAAAATCTTTTTTCTTTTAATTAAATGATTTATTTAATTTTATTGTATGTGCATTAGTGTGAAGGTGAAAGATCCTTTGGAATTGGGAATTGGTGTTACAGACAGTTGTGAGCTGCCATGTGGGTGCTGGGAATTGAACCCACAACCTTTGGGAGAGCAGACAGTGCTCTTAACCACTGAACCATCTCTCCAGCCGCCGACAAAAATCTTTCTAAAAAAGAAAACAACTGCAAAGGAGAAAGACTTTTTGTCTTTAATGTTGAGCCACACTGATCATTCATTGTTTGTGCATGGTCAAATCAACGTAACAGTTAGTTTGATCTGTGGCACTTACATGGATGAGGACACCAGTGTTGTTCAGACATTAGATTCTGCTGAGAAAATGGATTATATAATGTATAATAAGGTTATAAGAACTTGTCTTTTTAAAGTGTCCATATGTGAGTATATATGTACTTTTTTTACTTATTTTCAGAAAAACATGCAGGAACCAATTGCTCTTCATGAAATGGACACCAGCAATGGGGTGCTGCTGCCTTTCTATGACCCAGATACCAGCATCATTTACTTGTGTGGAAAGGTAAGCACAGTGCTCTACCTGCTGTTACATAACCCCAGAAGAGGTGGGACTTGTGCTTCAGAAACCTAGAAGCTGGGCATGTCATGTCGCTAACATATATTTAAATGTTTTCAAATTCTGTGTGTGTGTGTTTGAGCTTGAGCACATCCATGCACATCCTCTTTCATACCAGGTTGCCAGCTTGGTCACATTGGCATAATTTTCATTTATTCTTATCCTAGCTAGCACCTGCCTCAGGTAGCTTACCAAAAAAATAGTGGACTACTCTAAACACAGTGACCATGGGTTTTTCACACACTGCACGGAAACCTTTTGGTGTTGACCAGAATTAGAGGGTGCCGTTGAAACACGGATGCTTCTTCTAGAGAGACCGAATTTTAATCATCCTCAGTTGTCTGTTGTTGCCTTGGCCAGGCAGTTGTGTGGCCATGCACATTGTTGCCCTGACCCTGACCTGGTTTCTAGAAGCAGAGGAGCCCCCTACAGGGTGCAGTAGAGAATCCTAAGTATGAAGGACTGATCTTGATGGGGAAACAACTATTTATATTTCAGGCAAATGCCTTTGGAGAGAGCAATGGTGAGCTAGAGTTAGATTCTCATGAATTCTGGGATGGTGTGGGGTGCCACCCACTTAAACAAAATGTTTTCATAACATGGGCACTGACTTGTCTCTGGTTCTTGTAGGGTGACAGCAGTATCCGCTATTTTGAAATCACCGACGAATCCCCGTATGTCCACTACCTCAACACATTCAGCAGCAAGGAGCCTCAGCGAGGGATGGGCTACATGTCTAAGCGGGGACTTGATGTCAACAAATGTGAGATCGCTAGGTAAAGAACTGAACCCAAGTGTCCACTTGTTCATGACAGGCAGGCCCACTCCAAGTCCACCTCAGTGTGTCTGGAGTTGATTGTAGCTGTGGTCTGTCCTCACAGTGGAGCAGAGCAGTCACGCAGCATGGCTCAGAATTCAGCATGCTTGCTTCCTGCATATTGAGGCTGTGGGCAGTGTTCCCTGGTAGGCAGGAGCCTTGTGCCTTCACCTCCCAAGTGCTAGGTCCGTAGACCTGTACATCATGCCTGGCTTCTTCTTCAAAATTACAGTAAAGATGAAAAGTAAAAGTTGTATGTATGTGCCTGAGTAGATGCCTTATTTGAAAAACTCTGGTCTTGCGGGCGTAGATTAAGGTGAGGTCTCTTACTACTGTCCTCCCAGCAGTAATGAGGTGAGAGCTGGAGGAAGCAGATGCTGGACGCTCCAGTCAGATAACCTGGCCCGTATGACAGTGGTCCAGGCCGGTGTGAGACCCTCTCTCAAACAAAAGTCAGAAAGCAGGGCCAGCAGGGTGGCTCAGTGTGTAAGGACACTTGCCACTCGGGCCTGATGCCCAGAGCTGGGTCCTAAGAAAAGCAGAAGAAGGGAACTGCATAGCTGTTCTCTGACCTGGACATGTGTGCTGTGGCACCACACCCACACACTCAACACACGCAGCAATAATAAGTGGTAGAAATTACCTCAGACCAACGCAGCAATAATAAGTCGTAAAAATTACCTCAGACCAGCACCCGATGTCCTCTGAGCTCCACATGTGTGCCACGCATACAGAAACACAAGGCGCACATGTGAACGTGCCAAGTAAGAAGTTGTGTATAGTCTACCTGTCACCTGTTCAGTATCTCATGCTGGCAGAAGGCTCACACCCGGGCGTGGCTGCTCCTGTGCAGTGTGTGCTCTCCCCTCTGGGGACACAGTGAGTCACCGTGCTGTGGCTGTGCGTTCCATCAGCACTGGCACGTAGCATTGCTGCAGCCACCTTTCACGGGCCTCTCAGGCTTGCTGACTCCAGCTGCATGGACAATCTCAGTCTGTTTTCTCCTGTGTTGTGGGAGCACCAAGCCCTGCTGAGTTTGGAGTGGCAGCTGAGGTAGGCAGTGAAGATGAGTTTCCGATCCCATGGAATGATATAGGAAGCAGTCTGAGCTGCCACTCACGTTTCACTCACTGAAAGTTTGCCTTTATTTCTCCTTTGAAGATTCTTCAAGCTTCATGAGAGAAAGTGTGAGCCGATTATCATGACTGTGCCCAGGAAGGTAAGTGCCCAGGTGCCTGGTTTTGTTTTTTTGTGTTGTTTTTTTTTTGTTTGTTTGTTTTATTGATCTCTTTTTTTAATTCTTTATTAATTACATTTTATTCACTTTGTATCCCCCCTGTGGTTCCCTCCCTCCTCCTGTCCCAATTCCTTCCTTTCTCCACCCTCTGCATGCATGCCCCTCCCCAAGTCCACTGATAGGGGAGGTCTTCCTCTCCTTCCTTCTGATCCTAGTCAATCAGGTCCCATCAGGAGTGGCTGCATTGTCTTCTTCTGTGGCCTGGCAATGCTGCTTCCCCCTTAGGGGGAGCTGGTTTGGTTTTAATGTGTATGGGTCTTAGGCTGCATTTGTTGTTGTACACTGTCTGCATGCCCACCTGGTGCTGGAGAAACTCAGAAGTGCCGGGTCCCCCAGAGCTGTGAGTGCCATGAGGGTGCTGGGAATCAGACCAGGTCCACTGCAAGAGCAGCAAATGCTTGCAGCCAGTGAGCCACACACGTAGGGTTTCTGTTGCTGTCATAAAACTTCCTTTTTTATGAAGAAAGCAAGTATTTCCTTTCACAGCTCTCAGGTCTCACTCTGTGACTGAACTCGGTGTCAGGGCAGGAACCTGGAGGCAGGAGTTGATGCCGTGGCCATGGAGGAGCACTGCTTGCTGTTTGCTCCTTGTGGCTTGTGCAGTCTGTTTTTACAGGGTCACCTGCCTAGGGGCAGCCCCATTCACAGTGGCTTGTGCCCTCCCCTCCCACATTAACCATCAATCAAGAAAATGCACTGTAGGCTTGCCCGCAGGCCAATCTGGTGCGGCCATTTTCTCAGCTAAGGTGCCCTCTTCTAAATGACTGTGTGGAACTGACATAAAACTAGCCAGCACATCCTCTGTCCAGCTCTGTGTGATGGCACGTGCCTGTAATCCCTGCCGTTGTAGATTACAGGAGACAGTAAGGTGCAGGACATACAGTTCCATAGCAGAACACTTGCCCTGCACACACACAGCATTGGACTTTGTCCCCGGCACTGCAGAAAGGCATAGTTCAGTACAGCCCCAGCCTTTGTTTTTCCTTACCAAGCATCCCCCAAATGCCTCTTGCAGTCTGACCTCTTCCAAGATGACCTGTACCCTGACACAGCGGGCCCGGAAGCTGCGTTGGAGGCAGAGGAGTGGTTTGAGGGGAAGAATGCAGACCCGATCCTCATCTCCTTGAAGCACGGGTACATTCCAGGCAAGAACAGGGACCTCAAGGTGGTGAAGAAAAATATTCTGGACAGCAAGCCAGCTGCAAACAAGAAGTGTGACCTCATCAGTGCCCCCAAGAAGACCACAGACACGGCCAGTGTGGTAAGGAGTGTGGGCCTGGAAAGGCCCCTGTGGGTCAGGACAGTGCCCAGGGACTGGGTGACTGTGTGGTATGCTAAGCCAGCCTACTGTGCTGTCTGAGAGTGGACAGAACCCCTGCTGGTATTTCGTGACTGCCATTCCGTAGTAAAACATGATGGGGGTTCCGGGTCACAGTGTACCTGGACACTGTGGTTATAGTGGTTATAGTGCTGGACAGGTGGTTATAGTGCTTGCTGTATTGACCGTGGGACTAGCAGTAAGCATGACCTTGGCTAGAGCTTGGGAGGTGAGCCAGCCTACCACCAGAGGGCACTGCTGCCACAGGAAAGAACAAGCGTCTGTCCAGGACAGGGAGGGCTATGGGGAACTGCACGGACCAGAGTGCTTAAAGGACCTAGTGCTCTGGGCCATGACCGCGAAGCCAGCATCTGGGCTTGGTGCCATAAGGCTTCCAGTTAATGAGTTCAAGTGGGAGACACTGGGGCTCAGGACACCTAGCAGATGAGGGTCAGGGAAGCCTCTGCCAGAAAGAGTTTCCCAAAACCCCTACAAACAGAAGCTGCTCCTGACAGGGGGTGTGAGCTGGAGGGATGAGATGCTGTCCAGACTTGTCCTGTGATCGCCTCACGGTGTCTTTGCCCAGCAGTGTGCAGGGAGAGGACAGGGAGCCACACTGAGGTGGTGCATTTTCTTTGTGGACTCTCCTGCCTCAGAAGCCTTCATGATGCCTCAGGAAGACCTATGTCCTAGGGGCTGCTGCTCACCTTCTCTTTTGAGAGTGGGAGTAGCATGCTGAGTCTCACAGAGTGGGAATAGATTTCTTTAATGTTGTTTGCTCACCTTTTTCTGTTTGTGTTCTTAGCAAAACGAAGCCAAGTTGGATGAGATTTTAAAAGAGATCAAATCCATAAAAGACACAATCTGCAATCAAGACGAGCGCATTTCAAAGTTAGAGCAGCAGCTGGCAAAGATGGTGGCCTGAGGCCCGCCCAGCTCCACCGACGGCAGCTGCTTATTGGCGTGCTCCAGGGAGGGCAGAAAGGGAAGCACTGCCATTCGGAGACATTCCATTTCAGATCTGTCAACCAGCGATAGGCCACATTCCCGTAAGGACTCAGTTCCTCTCCCAATGTTCGAAACATGAAAGCCGAGCTTTTTATTAGGAAGCTTTTTGATGTTTGACAGGCCAGTGACTTGTTGAACTTCACTACATTTGAAATGCCGGATATTCTGAATTTTAGAAAAGAAACCCACCCTGACCCAGTGTCCTACCCACACACCTCGATGACTGGGGCCAATGCCACCTTTGCTCTCTGTCTCTTCCTTTGTAATGTTGCCAAAACCAAAAGTAGCTTTTTTTTTCTTTGTATTTTGCTACTTTGCAGTATTTGTGTGGTTGGTTTTTTTTCTCCTCCTAATTTGAAAGGGACAGCACTGTGTATGTTTATAAACTAAATGAAGATGAGATGATTATTTTGTATAAACACACACAAGAACAATCAGTGCAGCCACACAGGCTGGCTCACTCACAGCACAAGCCTGGGCGTCCACTGGCCGTCCAGAAGGAAGACTTGAGAAATCTCGTGGACCCATACACCACCCCTCGTTCCGTTGAGTCTCCGATCAAACAGCTCATGTCCCATCTCTCTGTCCTTGCTCTTTCTTTCTTAGAAGTCAGGTGGTTGTACAGATGGAACTCAGCTTCTTGATGCTGTGCTTCAGCGATTATAATCTAACCCAAACTAGCATGTGTTTCTGCAGTTTTGTTCTATGCAGATTTTGTCGCGACCATCCCTTCCAGCACTGTGGACAAGGACGCCCAAGACAAGAGGGTGCACGTGTGTTGAGTGTCCTTGTCCACCGCGGTGGCTTGCCTGGCCCGTGAGTGTAGTACAGGGCTTGAACCCGGGAGCTGTGTGTAGAGCCTCTGCCTGTAGCCCTCTGTTTTCCACATCTCCTGTCCTCCCTTCCTCCCTCTTCTGCCTCCTGTCCCAGGTGCCCAGCCAGTCCTGTCTGTCCATTGTGTGTCAGGCCTTGTCACTCAGCAAGATGTGACCTGAGGGTTCCTGAATGTTGCGTCTGAGGAAAGGGTTCAGAAGAAAGCAGGAAGGGGAGTGCAGAGGCAGGCTGTGGCTCTTCGTGCCCAGGCCCTCTGCACTGCCACACAGATTGGCTGCTGTCTCCAGCACTGGCCGTGGCTGTGTGGGGCAGCTCGCTGGACCTAGGGCAGCTGGAACTTAGCCCTAGCTTCACAGTCTCATGAAGTATTTGTGAAAGCAGATGACCCAGACAGTGTCACAGGGATCACGGAAGGCAGGCCGTGGTGTGTGTCCCTGCTGGTGTGGGCATAGTGCTGGCTGCAAAGCAAATCTACAGGGTATCAGGACAGAGGCAGAGTGTGGCAGCAGTTGCTTAGAATGTGTAGACTGACTGTATGTGGACTGACTGGGTACTGGGAAAGAGTCTCTCAGCCACCCATACAGGGTCGCTGGCTCCACAGCGTCAGGGCGTCTGAACCTTCGTGAGTTTGTGTGTCTGCCTTGTGTTTTTAATGTTGGAGTGGATAATGAAATATAAAGAAAACAGCATGACTTACAGGCACACTGGCATTTATATCAGTGTGGTGTGCTGAGGACCTTTGTCTCAAGATTCAGAAATGTTCTGGGGTCAGTTGAATTAATTAAGTAATAATTTTTGAAGCTGGTGATGAAGCCAGAGAGAATGTGGTTCAGAGAGAGGAAGAAGCAAAGAGAAGCCAGCGACCGTAGTGTGTGCCAGGCTCAGAGTAGGCACCTGACATATTGTGATGAATTCTTTTTCTCTGTCTTGTCGTTGTCTTCTTAAAGCTGTGGCGCCGGAGGAGGACAGTGACCTGCTCCTAGATCCGCTCTTATAGAGTGGCCATAGTGTTCTGTCAAAACACTTGCTTCCATTTTCAAAGATAAAAGACATTGATTACAATTGTGTACTGTGTTTCTTTCATACCCCAGCTGTCTCTAAGGCAGCCACACCTCTGCTAAACACAGGTCCCCCACAGCAGCGGGGTCAGTGCTCTCTGAGGGTAAGTACTAGGAGTTGGGATGATCAAGAAAGCCTTGGTAATAAAGTGTAATTAATAAAAGTTAAAAAAAAAAAGAGAGAGCCTCGGAGAGAGGCTGGTGCTGGGGTCTAGATTGTCACAGACCTGCGGGGGCACATTCTGCCTGCAGCCTGGTTGGCCTGAAGCCAAGCTCATCTCCCAGTTTCTTCCCTAGTTGGGGGAAGGAGAGAAACACCCAGGATGACCTCTTGGCCTCTTGCAGAGACAACATGGCCAAGTATGGGGAGCTCCTCCCTGGATTTTGTTTGTTTCAGGTTGTTTTGTTTGTTTGTTGTTTTTTGTTGTTTTGGTTTTGGTTTTTGAGACAGGCTGTTGTATAGCCCAGGTTGGTGTCAAGTTTGCTCCACCTCCTGAGTGCCTGGGGTAACAGGTGTGCTCCGCCATGCCTGGTTGATATGGCGCGGGGATCCAACCCAGGGGTGCTGTGTGTGCTCAACAAGAGCCTTTCCTGCGGGTCCACATCCTCAGACCTGGGCTTTGTGGGATTTGTTTTGGGTTTTTTTGGGTTTTTTTTTTTTTTTTTTTTTTTTATTGTTTATGACAAGGGCTCAGGGCCTGGAGTGGTGCATACCTACAATCTCAGCACTCAGAGGCAGAGGCGGGGCCAGCCTGGTCTACATAGTGAGTTTCAGGACAATCAGAGCTACATAGAGAGATCTTGTCTCAAAGAGACCAGGTCTCCTATCCTGACGGATATCTTTGAACTTGCTGGGTGATTATACACAGCCTTGAGCCTCCAGCCTCTGTCTCCTGAGTAACTGGGTTGCATGCCCTGATGTGGGGCTCTCGGTAGAAAGGAAACTGTGGGTGCTGGGTTCCCAGGTCCTCGGTGTCTTCCGTGTGCCTTTCAACTTCTCATTTTTTATTGCTCCATCACCTGATGACATTTCAGTATTTGCAGGGAAGAAATCCCCTTGTTTACCTTTCTCAGTGTCTGAGATGTGATGAGCAACTGACAGGAAGACCCGCCCTAGGTCCTTCCTCTTGAGCAGGGGGAGCCTCCCCGGTTCTCTATGGCCTTCAGGGAGGGGAAGTTGGCAGGCCTCTCTCTGAGGACCCCAGCTGTGGGGAGAGGCCTGGTGGTCTGTTTACGGCTGGCCTGTTGTCTGGTTTTGGCCACCTTGACTCTTCGCCAGAAGACCTAAGAGCTTCTGTGTCGTCCCCAGACGGCTGGCCAGACACTGTCTGGAGAGAACTTATTAAGGTTACTTCCTCCCTGCACTTAGTGCTCCGTGTCCAGAAAAACTCTGTTGGGTCTTAAAGAATCTGTTAACTCTAAGTGGCCCTTTCTCCTTCCAGTGCAGTAGAGAATCTGAAATTGTCACTGGGTCACGGACACAAGTTGTGATCATGGGCACAGTTTTCATTTAGAGGGGGTCCTGTATTTGTTGCTCAGGGTAGACACCGCCTCCGAAGAGGTTACGTGTGCAGGACAACAGCACCTTTCTGGAAGGCAGGCTCACAGGAGGGTCCAGACTTAACTATTCATAGCTTCTACCCACGCTTCTCACCTGAGAGCTTCCCTCCAAAACACCAGTGGGACAGCAGTGGAAACGAGAATTGGCCTCACAGTTAACTGGTCACGCTCCTAGAACACCCTACGGCTATTTAGTCATTTAAGAAGGATATTGAATTAGAAACATTTTTAAAAAAATAAGTTATAGCTAGGGCTGGAGGGGAGGGCACAGCAGTTAGGAGTATGTATTTGCCGGCACCCACATTGGTGGCCCTGTTCCAGGTGATCTGATGTCCTCATCTGGCCTTTCAGACCACCTGCACTCATGCGCATATACTGGTTTACAGACACACAATTACATGTGAAAGGAAATCTTAGAAAAAAAATGGAGGTAAGATACAGTTGGATACAACTTTTGTCTTCATAATATTAATTGTGTGTGTACGTAACTGGCTGGATATGGCAGAAGACACCTGAATCCCAGCTCTGGAGGATTAAGAGTTCAAAGCCAGCCTAGTCTAGAAAATAAGTTCTAGGACAGCGGGCTACGCAGAGCAACACTGTCTCAAAAAATAAAAAACTAATAATAGAATGGTGGGTTTGATTTGTTTGTTTTGAGAAAGGTCTCACTCTGTGGATCAGGCTGGCCTCCAATTCTCAGAGATGTATTGCCTTTGCCTTCCCAGTGCTGGGATCAAAGTTGTGTGTACCTGGCTGGTATTTACATTTTTAAATAGTGGGTAGAGACCCAAAGGAAAACTGTTTAGTCAGAAGAATCGTGAAATTCCTATCCCAGTGACCATGAATAGTTGGAACATGCTGGGGCAGGACAGCTGGGGCAGCAATTGAGGCCATGCACTGCCAAGGCAGAGGAACAGGCTTAACTCCTAGCACCCATGATCAGGCAGCCCCCAGCAAGAGATCTAACCCCCACCTCTGGCCTCTGCCGGCACCTACACTTTGCCTCACACACCCACAGAAAGATACACAATAAAAAACGGAACATGTTATTTTAATTTCAACATGCCGTATATTCTGGCTATTTTTCCTAAGTACTTGGAGATCTAAGTTACAGATACTGTTTTGCTACAACCTAAAATCCCGATGTCTTACTTTGTAAAACACCCCGGCCAAAAACAGCTTGGAGAAGAAAGGGCTAATTTCATCCTACAGCCTGTCCAGCATCCAGTAGTCAGCGTAGGAACTCAGATCAGTGGGAACCTCCTAATAAGGGTTCTCTAGAAGAACAGTGGCTCACAGGCTGTGGTCCAGCTAGTCCAGCATTGCTGACTCCTGAGGGATGTGTCTTCCCAGCTCCGATGATGCTCCAGTCAAGAAAAAAATCCCTCCCAGGTGTGCCCTGCCATTTGGGTTTTTTCGTTAAGCCCAGATGACTAAAGTCAAGTTGGCCAACAAGAATAGTTATCATAAAACTAGAGGCAGGAACGAATGCAGAGGCTATTGAGTGCTGCTCACTGGCTTCATCATTCTGTTCTTTTATACCCTAGAAACAACTGCTGGGCCATGACAGCACTCACAGTGGGCTGGGCCCTCCCACATCAATCATCAGTCATGAAAATGGCCCAGTCTTGCCTATAGGCCAATCTCATGGAACCATTTTCTCAACAGAGTCCCTTTTCCCAAATGACTAGCTAGTGTCAAGTTGACAAGACTAGCCAGCACGGTTGAGCCCTCATCAGTCTGACATAGACACAACAGTCTTCAACTGGAACCTTTCCTTCTCATTTGTCCCTAAGAAGGCATGTTAATACCACAGTATAAAACATTCTAACTTTCAAAAGTCCCACAACCTTTAAAATTTTGAATGTTAACTTAAGTCTCTTTAAACCAACCAGAGTTGAGCTGGAGAGTTGGCTCAGGAGTGAAGAGCTTGCCCTTAAAGAGTCAATTCCCAGCACCCATCTATTGGCTCCATATCTTAACTCCGGTCCCAGGGGATACATGCCCTCTTCCTGGCCTTGGTGGACACCAGTATACACAAGCATACATGACGGCAAAATGCTCAGACACAAAATAGTAAACATTCTAAAACTTGAAAAAAAAAATCCAAGGTCTTCAAAAGTCAAAGCCTCTCTAAAATATCCAGAGACTGTTAAATTCCAAAGTCTCTCCAAAACACTGTGGGCCCTATCAAATCAAAACAAGTTTAAAATACTTTTTAACTCCCAAGAGGGTGGAACCAGAACAGAGTTGTGATGAAATCAAAGCAAAATCCACTAATGTAAAAAAATCAGTGCCTCGACCTCTGGGACCCACTCCTGATCCGTGCTTGTCCAGCTCTTGTGGAGTCAGTCCAGCTCTGTGCCTCAGCTGCTGCTGGTGGTATTTACACGGTACTGATGCATCTCCAAGATGTTGGGGTCTTTGCTGTGGCTGGGCTGCACTCTCCATCCACAGCCTCTCGGGCTGTCTTCAGGGAGCCTGACCCTGCCACGTGGTGCCAAGCCTCAGCTCCTCTCCATGACCCTTTCATGCTCAGAAACAGTGCTTCTCGGGGAAACTAACCCATTACTAAGTCTGGCCAGATGCAGCCTTCGCCACCTCTCGACCACAGACTTCTGTGTGCTGACTCGGAGGAAGGAATCCCAAATTTACAGTCCTCGGTGACCATGGTCTCCTTCTACTCATGGTGGTGTCTCAGCTCCAGCTGACCAGCATCTGCTGTTCCAGGGAAACAAAGGTCCACGTCAGTGGTGCTGGTCTCTTGTTAACCACGGCTGACTCTTCTGCCCCAGCTAACCAGAAGTACACATTCTTAAAGCTCAGTCTATGGAATAGTCGCGTAAGAGTGTTTAAGGGACTTTCCTCTGAAGCTTCACAGGCTAGGGGACTTTTCCTACACCCAGGGTGACTGGATGCGTGGCCAAGGTCCAGGCAGTCTCCATCAGCTGGCATGAAAGGCAGCCATTTTGAGATCTGAGGTGTGCAGTCTAGTCCACCCTGCCAGGCACAGGCTCCAGCAGGGTGTCTCAGGAAGGTTATAGGAGGCATGGAAGGCGCAGGCTATTTTTTTTGTGTGTGTGTGTGGGGGGGTGCGGTAGTGGTTTTGTTGTTTGGTTGGTTGGGTTTTGTTTTAAGACAATCTTTGTAGTCCAGGATGCCCTGAGGCTCACAGCCCTCCCTGCCTCCCCATTGCTGGGATTATAATGCCTATCGGCTTGATTGGCTTTGCCCTGCACATCACAGCTTCAGGTGTGGGCAGAGGCATCGTCGGCCACTTCCTGCCTCTTCGGGAATGCCCTACCCTGCAGTCTCCAGTGTGGAGACAGCTTCAGGTGCTGCCCATGTGGGCATCCAGAGTCTGGGCTTGAGAGCGAACACCCAGATGCTGTGTTCCTGTTTAAGGAGGGAATCGAATCTGGTGGGTGGAGGGGGGCAGTAGCC